TGTGAAAAGTCTGGCTCCCCATTGCCCGGGGGAAAGTAGGACCAGCCATTTGGCAGCAATGCTACTGTGACCAGAAGGAGAAGACTGTTTGGGGCCAGTGTATGGATTTTCTTTTTTTCTTTTTTTTTTTTGGTGTCTGTTCATTTTGGATTTATTTATTTTCTTTTTTATAGAAGCGTTCATCTTTTCTCAAACCAATACGATGAGCTCATCAGTGTAAAATAGATCTCTTTAGTTCCCCTCATGTTCTGATTCACCACATATCTGAGTGCTTACTTGGTGCCTGGGAGTGTGAAAGAAACTCTAGATAGAAGATGCATAGAATAGACAGGGTCCAGGCCCTGGAAGCGTAACTGGATGGCTGCGAGGGAAAGAGGGCCTGATGGACACAATTACCGGACCAGGAGCAAAGCTGGAGAGCAAGCATAGGAAGCTGCTAACGCCCGGTATCCCTGAGTGACCTGATCTCCTCCCAACATTTGGTAACAGCAGACCCATTCTTGCTTAAACCATTTTCAGCCCTCATTTTATTTTAAAACGACTGCTTGAAGTTTGTCCCAAGAGAAACAAATTCATTTTCTCTTTTTTTCCTCCGTGTCTGTGATGTGATTTCTTATTTGTTTCATTTTCTCCTGCTCGTGCTTCCAATCTGGTAATGTTTCTCTGAAGGTTAAGTGTCCAGAGGCCCTGTGTACATCAGCAGACCTTTGATTGTCCATCACGCGGCAGTTAGTCACCCCTGGGAGTCAGAACAGGGGCCTGGATCTTTCATTTGCTGTCTTTGAAATGTATGTGATAACACTGGTCTGTTGAATGCCACCCCCCCTTGCTCTTCTACTCGATTAGATTTTTAAATTCTTTAGTGTGAGTGTGTGTGTGTGTGTGTGTGTGTGTGTGTGTGTGGTCTTTGTATTCTTCCCCTCTCTGCTGCTGTTCTCCATCAATTTTCCTAGAACATCTACTTTGAATTAGGTGTCTTACTGAACAACAAAGGTTCATGTTGCTTTTGGGAAAGCAAAGACACAAAAGCAGTAGTGTGGTGCCTCAGGCTATGGAAGTTTACATAAACTGGAGCACAGTGTATGGAGTAAATAATACGAAAGGAATGAAGCTGTAACCTCGTGGAGGACCTCCTATTGCATACTGAGTTGGTAGGTGATACACTGCAGGCGAGATGGGAGAAGAATATAGCATAGTAAGTCATAAGCAGGAGAGGGTTAGCAGGGATTGGCATAAATTGGTTGCATTAGATAAGGTCATACCAGAGGAAGCTCCAATGTGAACTCGAGAAAGAGTTGTTTATGATGCATTATGACATCCCTCGAAACTCATTTAAAAAAGTATTTCTAGACCTTGATGGGTTTAATTTTCTGATTAAAACACACACACACACACACACACACACGCACACACTCGCACACGCACACATAGCCTAGACTGCGTGGCTCAGTGATTGAGCATGGACCCAGGAACCAGGAGGTCACGGTCCAGGTCAGGGCACATGCCCAGTTTGCAGGCTCGATTCCCAGTGTGGGGTGTGCCAGAAGCAGATGCCCAATGATTCTCTCTCATCATTGATGTTTCTATCTCTCTCTCCCTCTCCCTTGCTCTCTGAAATCAATAAAAATATATTTAAAAAGCAAAACAAAAACATACCTCCATGTTAATAGGCGAGTTTAGTTAGTTATTTTTCCTTAGACTGCCCCTTGCTCAATTTGAATAGCAAGGTAAGACTATCTGTAGATGACTTAGATTACTTTTATTCTTTTTCTAGTATCTAAAATGTTGTTTTTAATAGAAACTTTTATCTTTTCCTTGAAGGTTTGATTAAAATCACCCAGATAACCATTTAGGCTTGGAGTCTTTAATTTGGAAGATGAGGGAAGTTTTTAATTACTGATTCAACTAGTACTTTAATGGCTACTGGATTATTCAGACCTTCTGTTTTTTTTTTTTTTTCCTTTGGTTCATCTTACAATTTATACATAATTATAAAAGTGTCCAACAGGTAAACCTGTTCAAAATTATTTGCATACAAAAGCACAAAAATTTTGGGGGGAAATGGAAATATTATGTCTTATTTTTGAAGGTGGGTTCACAGATGTAAACCTCTCTCAAAACTTGCCAAACTGTGTATTGTAAATTGATACAGTTTATAGTAAATAAAGTACACCTCATAAAGTTTGTTAGCATTTATCTATAGAAAATTATACACAGTATTTTTGTGATTCTTTAAAATTTTCATCTTTATCTTTAGATATGTTCTCTTTTTTGTGTTAATGCTCTCTTTTTCATGCATCTTATTAAAGACTAGAGGCCAAGTGCATGAAATTCATGCATGGGTGGGGTCCCTAGGCCTGGCCAGCAATCAGTACTGATCAGTTTCCCCATCTCCCTGCTTCCCCCCCTCCTCTTTCCCTGGCCACCAGTGTCCATTGCCACCCACCCCCGATTCCCCATCACAGCCCGAGGCCCTGCCCTGATCAGGTGATTGGGACCTGCTGGCAGCGGGGTAAGGGGCTGGGAAGTTGGCTGACAGGTGTATATCAGGAGGGTCGGGGGTAGAGGTCAATTGCCACCACAGTGAGTGGGCGGCAGGCAGATAGGAGTCTGCCTTCTGGGGGAGAGACCTGGGCGGTTGGCCACTGGCCCCGAGGAGGAAGCCAGGCCTTGGCACCCCTGGGAAAGGGGTTGTGTCTGCTGCCACCCACGCCACCTCCACCCCTGGTTCCCCATCCCAGCCGCTAGAGGGCATGGCCCCAATCAGGAGGGACCAGGATGTTGGCCTACAGGCACCATTGGCAATCAGGACCTTCAGGCTGGGGCAGCTCCTGTGTTGAGCATCTGTCCCCTCGTGGTCAGTGGGTGTCAGCGTCATAGCAACCAGTCATTTTGGCTATTCTGGTCATTCCAGTCATTTTGTCATACAGTTGCTTGGGCTTTTATATATAGAGAGGCATTTCATTATCTTTTTACATAACACTCTCTTGCAAGAAACCCTCAGCATTCTTGTTTTCTTGATCTTTCTGTCACAGTACCTAGCAATGCCCCTCCTCTCGCCAGCATTTTGTGTGGGTAACTGAGAGCATATGAGAGATTCGGTGACTAGAAAAGGTATACTTAGGACATAGGTCAGAGTTCAAGGGGCAATATTCCTTCTTTCAAGATGCCTCGTACAGCCGGCAGATCAGGCTCAGGAGCTATTGGAGGCAGTTTTCTCTGGGTGAATTGATGTGGCTGACATACCATATGGTTTGGCTCAATGGATTGAGTGTCGGCCTGCGGACTGGGGGTCCCGAGTTTGATTCCGGTCAGGGGCATGTACATCCCAGGTGTGGGGTGTGCAGGAGGCAGCTGGTCGATGTCTCTCTCTCATTGATGTTTCTAGCTCTCTATCTCTCTCCTCTCCCTTCCTCTCTGTAAAAAATCAATAAAATATATATATTTTTTAAAATGAGTCTTTTAGATTTGAGAGAGCTAATTATACTTATTTAACATAAAAACTCCATTGCTTTTTATTTGTCTTCCAGTCATCAAATGCATTCTAGAAGAAGATAGCATAGTATTTGAGATGGACTAAGTCATAATTCAGTGCTTAAATCTGAATCCTAAATATGAGCTGAAAAAATAATATCCCTATTAAAAGTATGGGCAGAGATGTCACTCAGATGTCTTGGGACTTATTCAAAATAAGCAGGTGCTATGTAACAGATGTACCCAAAATGTTGCTCAACATCATTCCCTATCCATTTAAGACATTTGTGTTTTTGAAAACTTGAAAAGAAAATGTAAATGGGACTTGGTTACTTATAAAACCTTACTAAACAACCTAATGAGAAATCAATTGCACTTTTACTGAATGGTGCTGGGCATCAGCAGTGAAGTTATTTATCTTACCTTGGAACCAGACCTCCTGTGATTGGGAAAACAGAGGGCAGGGCACAAACTTGAGTAATTCTTTATCTTGCTTCCTTGAGCTGTTTTATTTTTGTATTTCAGGCACCGTGTTGTTTTGTTTAATCTTGGGGAAAATTGAAAGCCCAAGGTTGGAAGCTATTGTCATGTATAGTTTGCTAGGGCTGCCATAATGAAGTACCACAGACTGAGTGGCTGGAACAATGGACATTTATTTTCTCACAGTTCCGGAGACTGGAAGTCTGGGATCAGGGTGCCTGGAAGGTGGATTTCTTCTACATCCTTCCTCCCTTGGCATGTAGATGGCTGCCTTCTCCCTATGGTTTCACATGTTGTCAAGGTTTTCCAGAGAAACAGAACCAATAGAAAAAATCTCTCTCTCATATGTGTGTGTGTCTGATGTACGTATGTATCTCTCTCCTACCTATCAAAAGAAAGATAAAGAAAAAGAAGGGAAAGGAGAAAAAGAGGAAAAAAAGGGGAAAAGGAGAAAGAGAAAGAGAGTTATTTTAAGGAATTGGCTCGCAGTGTGAAGACTTTGGGGATTCACAATATAAAGGATAAGCTGGCAGACTGGAGACCCAGAGGAAAGTTTCAGTTCCGGTCCAAAGGCAGTAGTCTGGCAGAGTTCCATTAGAGATTAGATTTTTTTTTAAAACCTCATATTTTGCTATATCTGGATTTCTACCTGTTTTCATTTGTGTTTTTAACGTTTAAGTTAGAATGCAACACATAAGATATTTTTATACTGAGATATGAACTAATTTGAAGTTGCTATTCAAGTAGCGCCGCTTTCCACTTTCTCTGGCCATACAGAACATAAACAATGGGAAAATTACCACCAAAAATGAAGGAGAAAAGAGACTATAAAGTGAGGACTAATCAGAATACACATCTTTGGTGGTTCTCTCAAATCATAAATATAATCTTTATAATGTTATCCATGTTTGATAGAATTATGTTTATGTACTATATCATTTCAGTATAGTATGTCTCTTATAATTTTCAAATCGTTTTAACTAAAGAGTTAAAGGCTTTCTTATCTCTGATACTGAAGAAATGCTTCTGTCCTCTATTTCCTGCAGATAATAAGGAGATTTTCTTTTCCAAGGCAATTCACAAGTCCTTCATCGAGGTGAATGAAGAGGGCTCGGAGGCTGCTGCCACCTCAGGTGCCAAGCTATTCTCTACAATCTCCTCACCATTTTTAGATTTGTATTTTTGAAGCAGTCATGGGAGGGGAGGCTAGGTCATTTTTAGACTGGCTCGCCTCTCACTTAGAAGTCTAGCTAATGCTGAACCAGCTGGAATTTTCTAAGTAGGCTATGAAGTGTGCACTCACTCCAGGGCCCCATGCAAAGTAGTTCCCATGTCCCGTTTTCTCACTAATAAATGAGCTCAGGGCATTCTCAGCTCTGTAGGATAGATTTTCCTGCTGTGCTGCCTGTTTCACTCTCTTAAATTTTTTCCTGCTGCCCATTTAAACATTTTTCTTCCTACCTAATTACTTATGGAAGTTAGTTTATTATTTTGTTGGTGAAAAGTTTTGATTTTTGCCCAGCCAGTCTGGCTCAGTGGTTGAGTATCAACCTATGAACCAGGAGGTCATGGTTCACTTTGAGGTCAAGGTTCAACTCCCAGTCAGGGCACATGCCTTAATTATTAGCTCGATCCCTACTAGGTGGCATGCAGGAGGCAGGTGATGAATGTTTCTCCTTGATGTTCCTTTCTCTCTTCCTCTCTCTGAAATCCATAATATATATATTTAAAGTTTTTATTTTAAAAGCACAATCATAAACAAGAGTATCTGATAGAATTTAATAACCAATTTTAACTAAATAGTAATACCAAGGAAATATAATAATAATTGTAAATCAATAATCAAGGAATTTGACATAAACCATGTGTCCGAAGCAAAATGGAAAAGATCCTTGGTCATTTTGATGATTCTGACTTCCCTAGTTAAATGAGAATTGCCTTTTTTTTTTTTCCTCATCTTATTTGGTTGGATTTGTTTCCAAATGTAATATTACGTTTGCATACATTATTTCTGCCTTTGCATACATTTGTCCATTTGAAGGATAGCATGAGTCGGAACAGTATTTTCAGGAGGAAATAGAAGCACAGTAGTCTGAGGCATCAAGAAAGCTTAACATTTACATAATTCAATAGTGACCTTTTCTGACAATTGAAACACGCAGCAACAACTATAAAACTATCATTTATAATAAGGATCTCAGGGAAATAGTTTTTCAGCTATAGGAAGCACATTGAGTCTCTCCCTGCTGTGTTTCCCCTTTTATCACTGCCATTCTGGCCACTTACTAGAAGTCTGGAAATGTACTATGTAAAAAGACCCATTTCAGACTAAAGAAATAGTGATTTGAGAATAAAATAATTAGTTTTTTTTTCTTCTCTCTTTCTTTAACTGAAAGATCATTTTAGTAAAGACTTAAGTATTTATCTGAGACTGAGACTAAAAGTTTTATAAGAGGCAGAATAAATTGTCCTATTATTTTTTGGTGGGGTAGAGATAGGAGACTGCGGTGTGTGGGGTGTGTGTGTGTTCAAAGTTAAGTCAAAATGTTAGCACCTTTATAATTTTTCTCTCTTTAAGTCTTTAAATTTGTGTTTCCCGTAAACTATTGCCTTTGCATTAAATATAGATGGTTTGGAGGAATTACTCATTAGTCCCTGCACATGGCAGACATGTAATTACCTTCTCTTTGCACTTAGGAATGATTGCCATTAGTAGGATGGCTGTGCTGTATCCTCAAGTGATTGTCGACCATCCATTTTTCTTCCTTATCAGGAATAGGAAAACAGGTAAGTCTGTTATGAGAACAGTACTTTTTTAATAGGCTAAAGAGAAATAATTTCTTAAAATTGAAAACATTTTCCCACATTGTTTATTTGATAATTTCTAATGTCTAAATGATAATTGAAAAAAAATGAAAATAACATATTTTCATTTTTAGAATATTGCTTGTTGAAAGAAAGAAGATAAATAAATATCCCCCTTTTAAACACAAATATTTTTTGTTTGTTTGTTTGTTTGTTTATCCCCTCTTCTGTTCACTTCCAACCCAATGCAGGAACAATCCTGTTCATGGGACGAGTCATGCATCCCGAAACAATGAACACAAATGGACATGATTTCGAGGAGCTTTAAATAATTTTTGCTTAAATAACGAGAAAAATAGTAGCTAAGCACATTATGTTTGCAACTGGCATAAGTTTAAGATTTGTGTTTTACAGTATAGCTTAAGATAATATTTAGAATAACTCCAGATAAAAACAATGTATGTAAATTATAAGCCAACTTGTCCAGGAATGTTATCAGTATTATTGAGGTAGCAGTCTTGTCATGTCATTGTGTTTGTTGTTGTGCTGGTATTTAAAATAAAAGTATATAGTGAACATGTGAACAGGTCTGCTTTTTATTTTAGAAGTTGAATAAAAATACCTTTGGATGAAATTTGGGAACAGTGAGTTTTCCAAATTTAAGTCAAGGACATCTTACATCTTTTATCATCAGGCAGACTCAAAGCACCAAAGTCAATGAGCACTGTACACTTATATATAACAAGCAGTAACAGGTGACATGGGGACAGGTGCTTCACAAAAATTCTGATGGTGTTTTTCTTTTTCTCTGAAGATGATATATAGTGTAATCTAGAAGAATGCAAACTGAACATCTTCTGTGTGGTTCCACGACAAAGCTTGTTAAAGAAAAAAAAATAGGGCTATGCAAACCCAGCGCTTACAGCGATGGTTTATTGGCTGTGTCTTTCAAAACCCACATGGCTTCCGTAGCCAGGCATAGATGATGAGCCTGGTATATCACCGTGTTTTGCTGCTGCAAGTGAAATCCAAACTACAATTACGTTCTCAAAAGTCGCAAAGTAAACCATGCAGGCAGATTAATAATAAAAAAAAATATACTCTATGCCGAAACTGGTTTGTCTCAGTGGATAGAGCATTGGCCTGCGGACTGAAAGGTCCCAGGTTTGATTCCAGTCAAGGGCATGTACCTTGGTTGCAGGCACATCCCCAATGGGAGGTGTGCAGGAGGCAGCTGATCGATGTTTCTCTCATCGATGTTTCCAACTCTATCCCTCTCCCTCTCTGTAAAAAAATAAATAAAATATTTAAAAATTAATTAATTAAATAAATGAAATAAAAAATATATGCTCTGTGGTGTGTATGTAACCAGAGAATTAACTAGAAAAAAGTGTGCTGGTACAGATACCAGTATCAATAGGGTTTGGGCTGAACCCCCCTGACACCCCTCACCCAAGGGGTGTTCTTGTTTGTTCTAAGAGGTTTTTTAACTTCAATGTCTGTAATAGGGGTATCACATTTTTGTTTTTCCACTGGTAACCTGATGGCTCCTGGTGCATTTGTTCGAGGCTTCTGAAGAGTTATAAGTTCTTTGCAGAATATATTGATCTTATTTCTAGGACAAAAAATAGTTGATTCCAATGGGGGCAGGTCTTTAGTAACTGTTTTGTTATCCATTGGTTGAAATATTGGTATTCTTTTGGGGGGTTGGGGAGAAAAAAAGGGGAAAAAAATAATCTCATCATGTTCTAGGAATGGAACTAAGCACACTTAATATCAAATTTTTTATTCTGTGATTCATCGTTTCAAAAGGAGTTCAAAACGTTAAAAAAAATTTAACAGAAACCGCTCAGATGTGATTTTCTTCTGTTAGGTATTTTGCTATGATTTGGAACTGTTAACTAGAATTGACATTATCATTAACTTTAAATCAGTTCAGGAGAGTCGTGGTTTGGGGAAACCAGGTCTGACTGTAGACCTATTGAATTTTAAACTCTGAGGAAAAACTTGTATTTTTAACAAGTTCTATTGGTGATTTTCTTACACATTAAATATTGACTATTGCTAAGTGAAGAATTCATGTGGAATACTTGTGTACTGGTTGTTTAGATAGAGTTAACTTACAGAAAATTAGTGCCATAATGAAGTGCCATAGATTAGTGCCTCTCAGATTTTCTGCGTATTAGAATTACCTGGGGATCATAAAGCAGATTCTCATGAAATAGATCGGGGAGTGGGGGGAAGAACCTGAGAACCTGCATTTCTGACAACCTGTGGGGTGATGCCATTGCTGTTGGTCCATGGACTCGAGCTGGTAATATAAGGTTTACATGTTGGATATGTTTATGCATGGAAACAGGAAAAGGTATTGTTTCCATACCACTTGGAGATAATCGGGGGATGGAGCAGTAGTCTACATTAAAAATGCAGTGAACTTATACAAAATGAGAAAAATGGTTTTACTCTAAAGCTTTTCCCCTGTTACTTTGTATGGCAAAGTGCAGACTTCCTCTGCATATTAGAATACCTGAAATACACTCTTTAAAAATATAGAGACATTTATAGGCAAAGCCCACAAAAGAATTTATGAATACCCAAGGACACAGTGCTTAGCACTGAATCATTTCCAGCTTATATTCTCAGAAAACTTATAGTTTATTCATAAAGCTGGGGTTATTGTAGAACAGTGCTCTTGTTTCCATCTATAATGTACACAGATCAGGCTAACTGATGTTGATTCAGGATTGTTATTCTGGGCTGGTGATATTCCTCATTACTGGGTCTGTACTTGTTAAACATTACATATTAGCTATATCTGTATGTCTATTAGTCAACTAAATGAATTACCTATAAGGAAGAGTCAACATCATTAGATAAGCATAAAGCCCAAAATGCAATTTTTTAAGTTAATATAAGATTAAGCTCTAGCATTCAGAATGTTTACCTTAAAATATTTCAATACAATTCAGATGCCCCTTAAATAAAACCGTTATTAGCATGTCGATGGAATGGCTAAAAATAAAATACTTACAGTACCAAGTTTTCCCTGCCATTTGATGTTATTTGTATATACTTTTTCTATTGAAAAAGTAACATCTTATGGTTCAGTTTATTTTAAAATGAATATATTACTACACACACACACACACACACACACACAGTGTGCATAGCTTATGAAAGCTTCTTTCTCTTTGAACATGTTTTTTTGAGAAGACATCAACAACAATTATGCATCTCTTGTTTTTAAACTAAATCTTTTTTCCAGCTTTATTAAAGTCTAATTGACAAATAAAGTTGTATTTATTTGAAGTGTCAGTCTGATGATTTGATATATCTACCCATTGTACAGTGCTTATCACAATCAAATTAACACATAATTACTTTTTATTGTTGTGTTGTGAAAATGCTTGACATTTACTCTCTTAGCAAATTTCAAGCATACAATATAGTATTTTTATAATAACTACAGTCAACAAGCTATACCTTATGTCCCAGAACTTATACATCTTATAACCGAAAGTATGTACCTTATGACCAATGTCACTTGATTTTCCCCATCCCTAGTCCCTGTCAATCTCCATTCCACTCTATTTCCATGAGCTCTACTTCTTTTTTATTTTAGATTCCACATTATGAATGAGATTGTGCAGTATTTTTCTTTCTCTGTCTGGCTTATTTCACTTAGCATAATGTCTTCCATATTCATCCATGTTGTCATAAATGATAGATTTTTCTTCTTTCTTTTGGCTGAATAACCTCCATTTGCATTTGTGTTTATATCTACTGGTACATATACATTTATATATACATATATTACCTTTTCTTTATCCATTCACACATTGTTGAACACAGGTTATTTCCATAGCTGAGTTATTATGAATAATCCTGCGATAAACATGGGAGTACAGATACCTCTTTGAGATACTGATTTTGCTTCTTATATGTTTTAGATACTAATCCCCTGTTACAGATATAGTTTGCCAATATTTTTCTTCTATTCTGTAAGTTGCCTTTTCACCATATTGATTGTTCTTTGCTGTGCAGAAGCTTTTTAGTTTGATGTAATCCCAATTGTTATTGTTTCTTTTGTTGTCTGTGTTTTTTGGTATGGTATCAAAAAATTATTTCCATAATCAGTGTCAGTAAGCTTTTCCCCTATGTTTTCTCCTAAGGTGCAAACACAGAGGGTATGATACTTAGCCCATTGCTTTGTTTAATGTCTGCTAACAAAGTTATTTTTATTTATTTGAGAGAGAGAGAGAGAGAGAGAGAGAGAGAGAGAGAGAGAGAGAGAGAGAGATGTTATTCCATATATTTATGCATTCATTAGTTGATTCTTATATGTACCCTAAAAAGGGATTGAACCCATAACCTTGGCATATCAGGTCAATACTAACTGACTATCTGATCAAGATCAATGAAGTTATTCTTCAGGGAATGTTGAAGTCTCTACATGCACATAAATATAGCTATGGGAAAAATTCTGCCTTTATGAAGGCAGAGAAAGAGATGTTTCACAAAAGAATCAGTTTCATGTTTTTTATTAATTAGTTTGGTTCAAAATATAGAAAATAGTTTAACTTAAGATAAGCTTAAGCTAAAGGTGCATTATGTTCATATTAATTTCTGATTTTTATGAGACAGAGATCCATTGATGTCAAAAGAATGTGAAATTAATGGAAATAAAACCAATGCAAAACAAAATGTGTACATTTTTTGTCCGCATTTGATATTTTCTATGCATTAAGTATAGATAAACTTTCCCTCTCTTTGAAAATTGCAGAGGTTTTGTCTATTTGGGGGGAAATTAAGTGGTTATTTGTGACATATGGCATTTTCCAGAAAATGTTTCTTCTGCAGTCATTGCAGCTTCTAGCTGATCTGGCAGTTTTCTCTCTTCCTCAAATAGACAATATTTTATCTCCTTTTCTGAAAGTTTTGTGATAATTCACAAATATAGAAGCCTGACATTTGTTCACACA